GTTGTACTGACTGACGTGATCGCGTGCAGCCAAGGAGGCCGGCGGGTTCTGGATCGGCCAGGGTCCCGGCAAGTCGTGGCACGAGAAGCGATACGACCTGCCCATGCTGCGCGATCTCCTGCTCGAGAAGGGCCTGTGGGTGGACGTCGCCGAGACCGCCGTCTCTTTCTCCAACCTGCTCCTCCTGTGGAAGGACGTCAAGGAGTCCGTGCTCGACGCCTTCAAGGAGCGCAACGCGCCCGGCTGGATCGGCGCCCACATCTCGCACACCTACACGTCGGGCGTGTGCATCTACTTCCACTACGCGAGCGTGCAGCAGCTCGACAAGAAGGACGACGTCCACGGCGAGGAGGACCTCAGCATCTACCTCGACGCCAAGAAGGCCGCCACCACCGCCATCCTCAGGTTCAGGCTACCTCTCTCTTTTCGCACCACTTCTTCCCATCACCCCCTTCGACTCACCGCACACGCCGCACACGCCGCACACGTCGCACACGCATCACCGCACACACCGCACATGTAGGAACAATGGCGCGTTGAGTCATCACCACGGCGTGGGCTACGAGCACGTGCCCTTCATGAGCCGGTACATCGGCAAGTCCAGCATCAAGCTGCTCTCTGACATCAAGAAGGTGCACTTCGCGCGTGTGCGGTGTATGCGTGTGCGTGTGCGATTGGCGCGTGTTGCGTGTGCTTACACGACGCGTGTGCGGTGGTGCGTAGACGTTGGACCCGGCGTCGGTGTGCAACCCGGGCAAGCTGTTGCCAGAGGCCGGCAAGGAGGACATGGACAACGAGGACCACTCGTTCTACAAGTATGGCTTCGCCTCCCTCACCGACCAGCTCAAGCAGGCCTCGTCCGTCAGGGCCAAGAGCGCGCTCTAAGCCCACTGGGCAAGTGTTATTTTTTTATCTAGTAAGTTGACACAACCACCTAACAACTTTCACCTTAAACTTGTGGTCATTTGAAATGAGAGGTCACAAATGACTGTGGAATTTTTGTTGTGCTAAAATCGTGTGAGATTTGACATTTTCAATTTATAGGGCAGTTTTGAAGAGTTGGATCTGAATCTTTGATTTTGACATGCTTTACCACTGCTTATAAGTGATATTGAGGGACTTAAGATGAATAAGATTTCATAAAAACTTGGAATGTGTGGAGTTAAAAGTGATTTTATCAGTGTGAGATGGACCTTTGTTGTGGTGGAATTTTATCTTTGGGTATAGTGCTCCAATTCAGCACAAATGTGAAGAATGAAGTTCCATCCATGTGTGCAACTGACTGAATGTGGTGTGAGGTTGACCATGAACTGGATGTGAGGGCAGCATGTTGGCCACTGATTATGGAATTGATGGAGGGTATGAAAGCAAAAGCAAGGTGCATTTTGAGGTTGTTCAGAGGAGCACTAACACAAAACAAGCAAAGTTCTGATTTTCCAGATCATATACACATACACAATAAACTACGTATTGGTAGGTCAAACATGTAGTCATTGCATACACATACACAATAAAGTAAGTGTCTGGTTTTACAGTTTTTTGTTGTTGTGTATGCATCAGTGCATGTCACCTTTGCCATCAGCCATGGCCAACAACAAGGAACTGTTGAAGCTCCTGAAGGAGGTAACTGCCCCATTGCATACATGCTATTATCAAAGCCCATTATGCTATGAAACTGCAGTACATTCTATTGTGTACACATACATGATAGAATGTTTGCTAAATTTTTCCTCCTAGCCCCACAGATCATGTGAGGAAGAATACAGCAACAATTTTGATATCAACTGAATGACAAAGAGCAGCTCCAGCCACCCTCACAGTGAGCAGCCACCTCCGCAGGAGGCCAAGAAGTAAGAGATGAAGGGCACTCTCCACACTGAGATGTGACAAACAGCCCCTCTGAGTTGCTTGTGAATAGAATAAAAATTGACTTTTGGTCCAATTAAATCCCAGCAGCCATGATTGTTCCTTTTATGGTTTCTGTGTGCTGGCTGTTGCTGTGGTCAGGAAAGGACTGAAAAAAACATGCATAGTCATCATATACCACCATACAATGCCTCCATGGGTGAGCAGTTGAGAGATGTGGGGAAGATCAGAATTGAAGTTGGTTTACAAATCAGCCTACCATCTAACCAGCAGCCAATGACATCTCACCCATGAAGATGGTGAAATGGCTAGCTATCTCATTGGTGGCCTTGATCCTAACACATTTTAGGAAACCCAGTGGTCTGTTGGTGAATGTGAAGGCAAAAGAAGAATGAGACAGCGCCCTTGGGACCCAAAGGCGTTGCCTGTGTTGCCTCCACACTTCACACCTTTTTTTTTTGAGGGAACAAAAGACCCTTCTGTGGAAATTTCAAAGGCCAACAAGATTTGTGTAGAGCAAGACCACGTGGACTCTGCCCAAAGAGAAAGACAACATCAGACATTAAAGAGAGGTGAACCTCGTTCATTGGTTAGCTGAGGGCTGCCCCAAGAACCTCTGGTGGAGAAACATGCATCTCTTGGGATTTAGCCCAATCAAGATGGCGGAATTGCATGCTGTTCAACATGTTCAAGAAAGAGAACACCAACATTGCCAGCTCACAAGTAGTCCTCTACTTCCTCCTTCAGCAAATCAATAGAAACAAAACAAAGCAGGTACATGCACCACCATTCATTATGAGTGACATTACCCCTTCTCAGCGCTTCCTTTAACCTTCAGCTTAATGAACAGTTCTCTCCCCAATTAGTTATACTGGACAATGTCACCTTGGGCAAATTGAGAAAGATTGAGCTGAACCTGGTGGATGTGCACAGCAACTTGGTGTTCCATTGTCCATGTGCTCCCTATGCAAACTCTTCCCACCAGAGCTGAGTGTTACTGGTAACAAGCCAGTGACCAATATTTTTCTCATGCTTATGTTAATGTTAATGTTCTCCTGACATGCTTCTTTTGCATTCTAGAGATGTGTATTGCAGTTTCTACCATGCCTTCTAGTGGACCACTGAGGTACATGCTTTACAGTACACCAAAAGCTGATAGTGCACATTGCTAAGAAATAGAAACCTCAACAGCACCAGGTTTGAACTTCTGCCACCTACACCTGACTGTGTTTGATATATGCCTGGAAGGCCTCCTGGACAAGACCACACACATGCCTGCAGGGGTTGATGCAACTCCACTGCCAAAGTGTGAGGCCCAGGAGTGGATGGTCAATTCCACCCACCATACTG